TGATGACCATTTACCTCGTCATAACTACATGTGACAGTGGATGTTCTGGGCTTACGCGCTTGGTACGCCCCTTTTCTCAGAGTCACGCTCGGTATATAAATGTTTGCCAATTTTATCATCTAATGAGAGCATTTATAGACAGCCAACGAAGCTATTCAACTTTTATAAAGTGCTTTAGTATAGTGATTTCTATAGCTATACTTATCAAGTAGCAAAATCTCGACATTTAAATGCTGCAATCAATTATGTTTACTACTTGTAAACCAACTTCCAAGAAGACCAGATCATGTTTCACGAAGTTTGTATCATCTCATAAAATCACCGTAACATGTTACGTTATTAAACTTACAGATCCAATCTTTTCTGAACGTCATATTGTTTTGCTTAATCTGTTTTATAAATTTCTTTCTATTTGGACTTCACACGAACGGATCACGTAAAATTTATGACTTATGTTTTAGTGGTGGTTCACAATATTACGTCATAAAGATAAGAACTTTCACACGGTCTTACTGGTGTTTCGCAGGAAGACATTAATTTCATAGGTCAAACAATAAAACTGTAAGCTTATATATATTTAGTAGCAGGATTTGCTAAAAACGTTGAAACAATCGACGTCTTATATGATTTTGTATGTTCATGACAAACCATAAAATGATTAAAAAAACACGTTACGGTTTAACCCAACTACGAGAAAAATAAAGGATAAATCGGGCATCTAGTCCAGTTTGGTAATACGTTGTTGCTATTTTCATATTTAATGACACGTTTTGTTGCCTGCTTTTCTATTCCTGATATAAGCTTGACAGTTAGATTCAATCAGAAACTGAGTATCGTTTCTAAACCCGTTGTACAACACCTTACAGTTGAAAAGATGCTATTTCACGAATCTAAAGTAACAACTTACGTGCAATTAAAAAAAAATGACGGAGGAACTAGATGTTCAAGTTAACCATTAAAGCTAACAAACCAATCATTCTTTCGGAATGAAGTAGGTTAAATAGGTGTGTATGAAAATGAAAAAGTTTACACCAGAACACATCCCCATCTAGTGGCAAATTTAATTCCTTTCTTTAAATTATTTTGCTGTTGACCTAGCAGAGATGACGAAGACAAGCACAGTCGTCAGGTGGTGGTATGATCAATCTTATCATATATAGGATCATATCATTTAATCAAATCATTGTCTACGGTAAAAAATGTACATACAGAAAACAATAAGTTTTCTTAATCTACATATTATTCAATAGAATGATATCTTTCTTTTACGAGTTAAAAATTGATAACCCTTCATCTATTATAGAATCGATGTTTGTTCTTGAAAAGAGCAATTAGGCCTAATAGAGCAAAGATTATGGCAGGAAATAAAGAAGAAACACAATACGGAAATCACCAGTGCATGTTAAAATGCTGATCGAAACAAACGTTTTTAATATTAATTGGTTGTTGTATACCTTTCACATATCTTTCTTAGACAAATTCGACATGGCATTATTATAGTTTTCTTACGGTTATAGACCTTCGGAGCATTAATTAGGTTTTTTGTAGTTGCCTAGTAGTGTAATCGCGGGTACCAGACGAATCTGCGTCTGTTTGCGCAGCCGCAACATTAGTTCTTGGGGAAGATTGAATAAAGGAAATTAACACATGAATACAGCGTATTAATTGTTTGTTTTTGAATTTCGCGCAAAAGCTACACGAGGGCTATCTGCGCTAGCCGTCCATAATTTAG